TGCCTTCAACACCATTTAATGTTAATACTTCTTTGCAAGTTCGTCAACCAGTAGTAACATATGCATCAAATCGTCAGGAAGATTCTTCATCATTAATCAATAGAAATGCAATACCATCAACATCATTCAATGTTAATAGTTCTTTGCATATTCAACAACCAATACCACCAAATGTTTCAGAAGTCACACGTGAATCAAACCGAAAATCTGCTCGAGTAAATTCTTCACCATTGCGCAATAGAAATGCAATGCAACCAACATCATTTAATGTTAATACTTTTAGGCAAGTTCAACAACCAATAACACCAAATGTTTCAGAAATACCACGTGAATCAAACCGAAAATCTGATCAACTACATTCTTCACCATTACGTAATAGAAATGCAATGCCATCAACACCATTTAATGTAAATACTTCTATGCAAGTTCAACAACCAATAACACAAAATATTTCAGCTGTTACAAGTGAATCAAACCGAAAATTTGATCAAGTACATTCTTCACCATTACGCAACAGAAATGCAATACCATCAACAGCATTCTATGTTAATAGTTCTTTGCATATTCAACAACAAATAACACCAAATGTTTCAGAAGCCCCACGTGCATCAAACCAAAAATCTGCTCAAATACATTCTTCACCATTTCGCAATAGAAATACAATGCCATCAACACCATTTAATGTTAATACTTCTATGCAATTTCAACAACCAATAACACCAAATGTTTCAGAAGAAACACGTGAATCAAACCGAAAAACTGATCAAGTACATTCTTTACCATTACGTAAAAGAAATGCAATGCCATCAACACCATTTAATGTTAATACTTTTTTGCAAGTTCAACAACCAATAACACCAAATGTTTCAGAAATCACACATGAATCAAACCGAATAACTGATCAGGTACATTCTTCACCATTACGTAAAAGAAATGCAATGCCAACAACACCATATAATGTTAATACTTCTATGCAAGTTCAACAACCAATAACACCAACTGTTTTAGATGTCACACGTGAATCAAACCGAAAATCTGATCAAGTACAGTCTTCACCATTACGCAATAGAAATGCATTGCCATCAACACCATTTAATGTTAATACTTTTTTGCAAGTTCAACAACCAATAACACCAAATGTTTCACAAGTCACACATGAATCAAACCGAAAATTTGCTCAAGTACATTCTTCACCATTTCGCAATAGAACTGCAATGCCATCAACACCATTTAATGTTAATACTTCTATGCAAATTCAACAACCAATAACACAAAATGTTTCAGCTGTCACACGTGAATCAAACCGAAAATCTGATCATCTACATTCTTCACCATTACGCAATAGAAATGCAATGCCATCAACACCATTTAATGTTAATACTTTTTTGCAAGTTCAACAACCAATAACACCAAATACTTCAGAAGTCACACGTGAATCAAACCGAAAAGCTGATCAAGTAAATTCTTCACCATTACGCAATAGAAATGCAAAGCCATCAACACCATTTAATATTAATACTTCTTTGCCAGTTCAACAAACAATAACACAAAATGTTTCAGAAGTCACACGTGAATCAAACCGAAAATCTGATCAAGTACATTCTTCACCATTACGCAATAGAAATGAATTACCATCAACACCATTTAATGTTAATACTTCTATGCAATTTCAACAACCAATAACACCAAATGTTTCAGAAATCACAAGTGAATCAAACCGAATATCTGATCAAGTAATTTCTCCACCATTTCGCAATAGAAATGCAATGCCATCAACACCATTTAATGTTAATAGTTCTTTGCAAGTTCAACAACCAATAACACCAAATGTTTCAGAAGGCACACCTGAATCAAACAGAAAATCTCATCAAGTACATTCTCCACCATTACTCAATAGAAATGATATACCATCAACACCATTTAATGTTAATACTTCTATGCAAGTTCAACAACCAATAACACCAGATGTTTCAGATATTACACGTGAATCAAACCAAAAATCTGATCAAATACATTCTTCACCATTACGCAGTAGAAATGCAATGCCATCAACACCATTTAATGTTAATACTTTTTTGCAAGTTCGTCAACCAGTAGTAACATATGCATCAAATCGTCAGGAAGATTCTTCATCATTAATCAATAGAAATGCAATACCATCAACATCATTCAATGTTAATAGTTCTTTGCATATTCAACAACCAATACCACCAAATGTTTCAAAAGTTACACGTGAATCAAACCAAAAATCTGATCAAATACATTCTTCACCATTACGCAATAGAAATGCATTGCCATCAACACCATTTAATGTTAATAGTTCTTTGCAAGTTAGTCAACCAGTAGTAACATATGCATCAAATCGTCAGGAAGATTCTTCATCGTTAATCAATAGAAATGCAATACCATCAACATCATTCAACGTTAATTCTTCTTTAACATTTGCATCAAACCGTCGTGAACATTCTTCAACAGTAATGAATAGAGATATAACACCATCAACAATATCAAATGTTATTGTTCATACACCAGCTCATCAACCAAGTACACTAAATATTCAAGCATCAAATCGATACACTGGTCAAGAAGGTCCTACATCTTTAGTCAACACAAATCCAATGCCACCAACACCATTGAATGCCAATAATTCTTTGCCAATTCATCAATCAAGATCAGCAATTAATGCAGAGGGCATACATACATATATGCGTACATCACATGGATACTATAATATAGAAGAACAATCATCATTAATCCGTAGTGATCCAATTTCATCGACATCATTGAATATTAATCCTTCTATATCAGATTATCAATCAATATATGGAAATGTTCCAGAAGTCACAACTGCATCAAATCAATATTATGATCACGAAGATCCTTTGTTATATAGAGATCCAATGCCATCGACATCATTCAATATTAATACTTTGCAAATTCGTCAACCTATAATACCAAATGTTACAGAAGGTTTATGTGCATCAAATCAAGAAAATTCTTCATTGTTACAGCACAGAGACCCCATTCCATCGACATCATTCAATGTCAAGTCTTCTCCACCTGCCGTTACGTGTGCATCAAATCCAACGAATAATATATTTACTCCTTCAACAGTAATTATTAATGATTCCACTACACCCGTCAAAGTTACTACATCATTCTCAAATTTACAACAAACTGATTCAACAACTTCAGATTGCCCTGAAAATACAGCATTCTATCAATTTGTGGATAATTTCTGTCCTATATCTCTAACATCACCAAAACGTGAAGTTAGTGTTCAGCCCTTATCTATAGAGAATATAGATTCCGTCGCAATATTATCATTAGATCATGATGTAGAACCGCCAGTTTTTCCAGATATTCCGAATACAAAAAATGAACCTTTCAGCATTTTTCGTACAAAAAGTACGAATTCAAATGCACCATCAGCTTCAAATGATGAACCATTATCTTTACGAGCTGATGAACGAGAATCATTAAATACACCAGAGATCACAAACAGATCGATTGGTCATTACGATATATTTTCCACATCTAGCAGTTCCGTAACTCCAGTTACTACTTCGCCAAGATCGGATCCCAAAGTAACAAATTTATCAGAAGGTGCAAATGCGTCTTATCCACGCTTAGATAACACCCATCAATTGTATGTACCATCTAAAAATACCATAACACAATTATCATCATCAAAATATATAACTTCCTCCTCACCTGTACCACTTACTGAACCCGTAACTTCACACCTTCCGGTTGATAACTCCGACCCACACTTTCAATGTTTCCGTCCTTTACCTAAATCAACTAATGATTCCGATATACCACTATTGTCGACGAATGCAACTACTTCTTCATCTTTTCAAAGCTTTGAACCTGCAACATCAAATATTACAGCGATCACAACTACCAACATATTGAGTTACAGTGTTTTTCGTCCTTTGTTATTATCTTCTAAATATTCAATTGCAACTTCATCTTCAAAGGTTACAACTAGCGCATCTACTCAATACACAGGAAATTACCATCAAGCATATACGAATTCCACCAAACCATCATTTAAATCAAATATTGAATCCAATGGTTCAAAAGTGACATCAATTGTGCACGTCGATCAAAGACATAGTTCATCGCAAGTCGATAGAAATTCCATAAAATTAGCATCAGTAATAGTTAATACTTCATTGCCAGCTTCACAAGGGTCAGAAAATGTGCCGGAAGCAACAACAAATCAATCAATATCAAATTTTGCAGAAACATCGATGAACTCTTCGTTGAGAGCTAACACAACTTTCTCAGCTGTAGCACAAGCTACGGGTGTAACAAACGTACAAATTAATGACGATGATTCATCGTTATGCTCCTATATAGATCCAGCAAGATCATCTTCATCATTGCATGTAAACATTTCATCCCCATCTTTAGTAGCTCCTGAACGAGTATTATCAGATATTCCAGAAGTCACATGTGCATCAAATGAATGTATTTTTGAAGAAAATCGTGCATCATTGAATGTTCCAGAAATTGTAACTGAATCAAATGCACACTTATATCTAAGAAATTCTTCGTCATTTCTCCATACAGATTCTATGTTATCAGCATCATCAAATACATCTTACTCGTCGTCGCCGGTTTCTGAAGAAATAACACCGAAGGATCCGAATGTAGCAAATGAATCAGGTCCGAATATTGATAAACACCCTCCTTCATCATTAATCCATGAAGATTCTGTGTTAACGGCATCATCTTTCGTATCTTTACCAGTTTCTGAAAGAATAACATCAAATGTTCTTGAAGTTACTAGACCATCATCACCAATCCCATCAACATCATTTAATGTTAACACTTCTGTGTCATCTTTACAAGCTGCACAACTAAATCCACACTCCGACCATACGGATCCTATACCCTCATCACCTAAAAATTCTGATATACCAACATCATCGACTGATTCCACTACATCAAATAACCCAGTTGTTACAAGTGCTACATGTTTATACTTTACTGTATTATATTCATCAACATCTAGAGATACAATAACATCCTTATTATCGAAATATTCCATTTCTCCTCCATCTTCACGATGGGATTTATCGAAACCATCATCTTCAAAAGTTAGTAGCACTTACCTGGAAGATTCTAGTTTTTGGTATCCCGAAACACCACCGTACTCAATAAAACGTCAAAGTTCATCAAGTATACTAAATGCATCATCTCCTATTGCGGATAGTAATTCTGACAGCATTGAAACGTTTTTCACAAATATGTCAACACCGAAACATGAAAAACTAGTTACGCCCAGAAGATCGTCCAAATATCATCCAACAATAAATTTTGAAACACCACCATTTAGTACATCAGAAAATAGTTGCAGCGATCAAATATGGTCAACGGAATCGAGAGAGAATTCATCTGATTTCGAGAATCCTACGGTCCAATTTAAAAGAAAAAAGTATTTAAATAGTGAAAATAGCGATTTTGAAAGCTCGAATAAAGAATTTAAAGAAACGAGCGAGCTCTCTCAATTATCATCATCTTCAGAAAATGATATTGATGAATATGAAAGTGATAATGCAAATAGTGAAATGTAAATTTTAACTTGCTTTTATTTTTTTGTTAAATTAAGAATGTAAATAATAATTGTTGTTGCACGATGTATTAGATAAGATTATTTAATTATAATAAATATATTATCACATGCTATATAAGTATATTTTTAATTGAATTTGAATAATTTAAACTATTTATTACTTTAAAACTTATGTCTGAAAGAAAAAAAATCCAATATTACAATTTTACAAAGAATTTAGATATATTTTTAATATCTTATAACGATTCAAGTCAAAAAGGAATATATATATATTATTATATCTAATGACGACCAAAAAAAATAAGCAAAGGCAAGTTCGTGTTTTATTTAAAGGATCTGTAATGTCTTCATCGGTACAATGAAAAATGTAAACCAATATTTTATCTATATTTATTGCAGTCTGCATGTGGAGGAACTATAAAGCTAAATAACTCCGATATCTCTATTACTATAAACCTTAAGAACCAATAGAGAAAACTCGAACAAATGTTATGGAATGAACGTAGGCAAGTCCAGCCATTTAGGTGTAGAGTAATCCCTCATTTATATTGAAACTAACAAGTTTCTATAAAAACAAATACCGTAGCAATAATCCTGATTTTCATTACAATTTCTGAAAAAATATCCATAATTTGAAGTAGTAATAAATAATTTGGATTTCAAAAATTATTAATACCAATAAACTGGAATAAACATTGGTGTTTTCAATAGTAAGTTAATATTTCAAAACATTCTGAAAAAAATATCTACAGTTTGGAGTATTGATACATCATTTTTAAAATTGTATTATCAAGATCTAAGTGGTTTGTAAAATACCAGTAGAATATGAAGAAATAAAGGTCAGACATACTTATTTGTGATTTATCAAAAACCATAATACAACAATTTTATCAATTTTACAAATTGAGAAAGAGACCATTTGATATTCTAGAATAATCATAGGTGTTTTCAATAGTAAATTAATACTTCAAAATATTCTGAAGAAATAACCATGATTTGAAGTATTGATGATAGATCAAAAACCACATTGCACTATGGTTGTAAACCATCAATAATATCTATGCCATTATTACAACTTCACATTTAGTCTCTAATTGCTAACAATTTAGACCTTGTAAATTCTGCATTTTCAACATAAGTTTAGTGTATATTACCATCCGAACATGAAGACACATAGCTCATACATTCATATTTATGACATACTTTCCGACATACTTTTCAATAGTAACATGGTGAAAAAATATTAATTGTTTAAAATAGTGATATATCTTCTCATACGTTTTATTTTTAATTTCCAAAGTTATCTTAGTTTATAGTACCAGCAGAAGCTAAAGACCAATTGGAAACCAAATAACCTTCCTCCAAATTATGTATGTTAAAATTAATTGTAAAATTTCTCATTATAACATTAGTAAGAATAAAATAAACTTTTAGAAATTATCGAAAATATCGAAAGAGAATGACCTTGATGACAACATCAAAGGTTATTTGGAGTATTTTTACTAAGATTTAATAAGAATACTCAAACAGACAGCTCTTCACAAACAGTGCATTCAAATATGTAAGTTCTAAATTTAAATAACAAACACTTGTAGTTTTTTCTTTCAATAAGAATGAGAGACTCACCGAGAATGAAGTGGGTCGTTATAGATCGAGTTTTCGAAAAGTAAATCGCAATGTTTAAAAGTTCTGGAAACGCTGCTTTATATTATAAACTTTGAAAACCAAATTTAGCGATTGTTTAATACTTAAGGTACAGCTAGTAGATGGCGCTAGTATAGAATTTTTTTTTTAATAAATTTATTATTTACAATCTGCCACATATTGAGCGGAATAGTTTCCCATTGGAAACCTTTTAAATTAAAAAATATAATATAAATAAATATGAATTTTAACAAATAATTAAAAAGAATTTGTTATAGGCAATAAACTGAAATAAGACATCAATATTCAAGTTCACCAGAAAACGAAAAAACAAATCAAATATAATTCCTATAATTTCATATTTTATAACATATTTTCCTCAAAAATACTATGAGCAATTACAATAGACTTACTTAAAAAAAAATACTACAATGTATGCACTATACTTATTTATTTTAAATGGCATGATTAAAATTTAATAAATAATTAAACTTATTATTACGTGCTTATTATAATAATCTTAATAGAGCTGAAGTCACATATTATTTTACTGCTTGAAGGCTGGTACGCATAATACAAGTTCCCCATAAAAAATAGCACACAGCTGAAGTGCATAAACAGCTAAATAGTTCCCAATTAACCATTTCAGTAGTTATTATTTAATACGGTATCCGAAATTCGTAATTTGTATTCCGCTTATATTCAAAATTTGATGGTTTATAAGGGAAGTTTATTAAGGTTCTTATGCAAATTATTTACAACTGCTGCTTGAGTTGCGCCGGGGCGAGAAGCTAGGCAATTATAATTGAGTGCACATTCTGAAATAAATTATGGACTTGTTTCGTAATGCGGGAAGAACGAGGACCAAAAACTGAAATAACCAAATATTTATACCTGCTGTAAATTATGCAGGAATATATAGGTATTCGGTTTAATTATATATGCTAGTCAGTGTATTTGGATACGGTCACGTTATGTGTTTTAACCCTCACGAATTCTAATCCTCCTTTCAAATTCCGCGCGTAGCCCCATAATAAGACTGCATGAAAACTAACGAAGTTCTTTGAACGACCTGAAAATATACATTTCGGGCACCATCCTTTGCTGATGACGAGCCTCTCACTGCTCCTTTCGCGTTTTGGATTCGCCGTGAAATATACAATGAATTATGTATGCAATTATGAATTTTAACGAACCGAATTGCCTCTCTGTAATTGATATCATTCTGTAATTGCTAATTTACTTTGCAATCCAACATAAGTCGATCGGCTAAATGTGCCACATATGCAGCTAACTAGAGATAACGTTCACATCGGGAGGACTGTTAAAGTATTTGGAGAGAAAAAGCTGGCAACATCAACATTGGCTTACAGTTTCCATTGTGGGTTTATATTTTGTTCTACAACTTCTGATTGCAAGAAATTTCTGTAAATATAATATTTATTAAATTTTCAATTGATTGGTATTTTTTTAATTAATGGGCTTTCCCGGCGAGAACATTCTTTATGTCTCCGATTCATGCGGTGATCTACCAAGCGAAGGAAGCTTTGCGCCTTGCTGACGATGGACTTCAAGAAAACTTTCAACACTATCGAATAGAAATAAATACTTGAAGAAACATAAAAAAACGGAATTGCCACCTACCTGACGAAAAGTATAAGAAGAAGGCGATTCATAGAAATAGCATAAAAGTTATTGGTATTTTTAATTGAAGTTTTATTATATCCATATTTATTTTCTATCACTATGAAAATTATTATATATTTAGTATATTTACTTCTATTAGACTTTATTTTTAAAATGGTTATCAGGAGGAACTATATTGCCATTCGATACTGTAACACTAATTGACTTCCTTTCAAACATTGGAGTACATTAGAGTTGTGTCGACATTTTTATTATTCCCGGGACACGAAACAACTCTTTAATGCATTCCCGGTACTCGATAAATTGAAAAACGTCGTTTCATTAAACATTCAGCAAATTAAATTATATCTGATTTTGAACAACCACTTTTTTGCATTGAAACACGGTGAAGTCCCTGAGTTTACGCCTGAAATCAGTTGTTTATATTACTTATATCAATTCGTGATGTTCCCTCCACGTTTGTACTTTATAAAAAGTACAAACAGACTTTGTTTATATAGAAAGCTTGTCTTCAAAGAAACTACGTCAAGGTTTCTTGTAGATACTTTGTTTATATAGCGTTGGAATGAAGACTATGTTGATGAATAAACTAGAATATTGGCCAAAAGTTGTTTTTACAGCAAATACAAATTATTATTATATCAGTCAAAGCAGACGCTTAATTATATTTAAAAAAAAGTCAATTTTTAAATTTCTCTACTCTCGAACGATAATTCCTAAATATTTTTTCAAAATTTCTTTGATATCAGACCACTGACGGACGCGGAAAAGTCCGAGGTCTTCGCCAACGCCCTGCTGGAAAGCAGCCGACTGGAAGATCAGCTGTTTGACGAGCCCTTCCATGAAGCCGTCACGGACGAAGTCACCAACCCACAGCTCACAGACTCCCGCCCACCAGTCAACGATCCCCTACAGACTACATTAAGTTATATGTAAAATATTATTGAAAAACTTCATTTTATTGCACATATGCGATTTACAGGGGCGACTAATAGCCTAATGGTTAAGTCGGCCTACCACGATCGAACGGTTCGAATCCTAGTCAAGCCAGGCCCTTTGTGAGCCCTCTCGGTGCATGCAGCAATAAGGCCATCGTTCGTCACAGATGGACAGTGAAATGAACGAGGTTTAGCGAAGTCGATGGACAATGACAGTGTTAAGGATAGCAGCAGATTCGCAGTGAAAGGAAATAAATCATAAGATTACCTACCTAATGTCGTGAAGGAATTGATCTTGGGGTGCAACTGGTAGATGATATTCAAAGATGTTGTTTATGTGAAGGAGAAGAAGCTAAGTAGATATTCCAGAGGAAAATGTTATAGAAAATGAAGAGATTGTTACGAATGAAAGAAGATGAAGATAAGTTATTGTCACTTTCCACTTTGGCGAAGATTTCAGATTAACGCCATAGTCGACCAGGCCTTTTAATTCCGGATTTACTTTTTCGATGGAAAGTTTCATCAAATATTGTGAACATCACAATACAAATGAATAATACCGCCAATAAATATGTTTAATTCGAGCTTCACTTCGGTTAATACAAGTTTTCGATAACATAAAGTAAAAGTAATCAAATATTCCTCATAAAATTAGAAACGCTTAATACTGATTTATTCTAATTTTAAATCTGTTTTTTGAAAGTAATTAAGTTACGTCCCGGTCCTTTGTGTTGAGGGAGCTCCACATAATATAATATCAACTCACATTAAACTACTCTAAATCAATTAACAATACATACAGCTCCAATTTCTGTATGAGCCGTGTACAGTT